TTATTGGGTTGTTTTGACCCAGCGGTTGGGTTCAAAACATCCCAACCGCTGGGTCAAAACAACCCAATAGCTGGGTTCGTCCCTTTTTAACCCAGCTCTGGGTTATATTTAACCCAGCATTTTTTAGAGTGTAGGTGTGTTCGACTTGACGTGGACTGACTGTGCAGACCGATTGGTGTATTACAGTACCACGAGAGCTAGCTTTCGAATCGCTCTTGCGGATGATCGATCTGCGCCGCACCTCTTCTAGTCGAACACACCGGCTAGTGCTGCAGGCTTATTGGCTCACTGACGCTGATGAGATTAACCCCGTATTGAAATTTGGTACCGAACGACGAGACGTTTTTCGATACTCTATGGTATCGAGGCAATTCGGTTGGTGCCTAAAAAGTATCGAACTCGATACCCAGCCCTACAGCCACATGCAGAAACTAAGACCTAAAACAGGAAATGACATCATAAAGTCCCCAGAACTATCAAACTTTAGCCTCTCTATCGCCATCTGTGGTTAAAACCTAAAATTGCATGTTACTTACATAGTAGTTCTTCCACACTTCATTGTCTGGTTTCTCTTCTATTGCATAAAATGTTTCTATTTACAACATTTTTTTTTGCAATGTTTGAGAAATGACCAATCAAAGGTGTTTAAAATAGCCACTGGTGCAGAAGAAATCCACCCAGTACAGACCAAAATGCTGAAGTTTTGTTCAACGCTCGCTTACTGATTGAGTTTTTCAGTCTTGCGAATACTTTCATTATAGTGAATGCTTTCATTATATCCAATCCGATACAAATATGAGATTCAGTGTACAGCGTAGTCAGTGTCTTTGATTATAATCAAAGTTTTCGCAAGAGTGCAGAACTCAGTCAGGGAACTGAATTGACAGCTGTATTAATTATAAAAGGAGCGATGTTTGGTTGCTTTCTTTATGCAACTTATTCACAATCATTTTTCATTCTGCTAAAAATAACAATGGGAAGTTAATTGTCTACTCACTGTCTTGATTTATTGTAGCTACCACCACTTCTCTCCACTCTCACATGATGTAGAAGCAGGACATTCTTTTCTGTGTTTACGGACATGAAGTTAACGTGAAAACAAATGATGAAAGCCTGGATTTCCCTCCAAAACCAACCAGACAGCTCAGACTTGTAGGTTTGAATAGGGGTAAGATAAGAACCCTGTAAAAATTAATCAATTAAAACATTTTACAAGAAAATACTAGTTCAGTCTTTTTACAGAATATCTTCAAAATTTCATGTTTAATTCAGTGTGTGACGTGCTGTTTCTTAGTATTTTACTATCAATTTCTGGGTGAAAATTGTTTAAATCCTACACCATTTTTTTTAACACAGATTTGACTTTGATATCTATATAATGGAATTTTGTTAATTGGTTTTATTAAAAAAAGACTATAGTGGAGCTTAATTGTCATCATATAATTTCTTTAATATAAATATTAATAATTTAATAATATAAATTATTTATTCATAATTCTAACTTTTTTAATAGGAAATACATTGACATAGGATAAAAAAAAAAACTTGGTTGTGTCTAAATTTTCTTGCACAAAACACGCACAAATGGTTGTGTCTGGTTTAAAAAAAGAAAACATATATATATATTTTTATTTTTTTGAAACGGGATTGGTTGCAATCTATTTTAATTGCCGTTTGGCTGTTGTAGCAAACAGAAATAGTGTAAGCCATTGTACATCTATTGCAACAACATTTCACCCCATGGAATAATTTAAAGCACAAATGTTATATAAAGGCTACAATTTATACTTCTTTTGTCCTTAATTACACTGATGCACAACACCGACCTTTAAAAACAAACGATGGAACACCTGACATTTGTTTTAGTGTTTGTTAGAGACACGGTGAACAACCATGAGCTGGATCCAGAGTGTCTTCATATTGTTCTCTCCCACTCTGGGGCCCCTGTTAAGTTTTGCGGAATGTATCCATCTTGCTTCCTACCAAAAGAGCATATTTTCT